GTGGATTACCTGAGGTCAGGAGGTCAAGACCAGACTGACCAATGTGGTGAAACCCCATCTCTTCTAAAAATACAAAAATTATCCAGGCGTGGTGGTGTGGGCCTGTAGTCCCAGCTGCTTGGGAGGCTAAGGCAGGGAATCGCTTGAACCCAGGAGGTGGAGGCTGCAGTGAGCCGAGATCATGCCACTGCCCTCCAGCCTGGGCAACAGAGTGAGATTTGGTCCCCAAATAATGAAAATAATAATAATAATAATAATAATAAATGGTAGTTCTTAGCTGCTGCCTTCATGATGATGTCATTTAATTATCTTCTCACACTACAGGCCTGACACATAACGTCCTCAACAAATATTTGTAGGATAAAAAAATAAAAATAGTTTTCAGTCATGTTCTCTGTGTTAATCCAGCTTATTCATCCTGAAGAGACTTTCTGGAGGTGGTGTCTTTAAGGATGAACAGGAGTTTGCTGAGGATAATTGCACCTTCTATTTTAAACAGAGCAGTGCCTAGATACAGAGAAAGTGTTTGGTAAATATTTTGGAAAGAGGAAGAAAAGAAAGAGAGAAGAGAGAAAAGAAGGAAGAGGAAGAAGAGAGGAATGAAAGAAAAGCTCAAGAAGGGCCTGACACAGTGGCTCACGCCTGTAATCCCCACATTTTGGAAGGAAGGCCAAAGCAGGAGAATCACGTGAACCCAGGAGTTCAAGATCAGCTTGAGCAGCATAGTGGGGTCCTATCTCTACCAAAAAAAAAAAAAAGAAAGAAAGAAAGAAAAAAGACACAAAACAACAACAAAAACCTTAAGAAGTTTTTTTTCTTTTAAAATTTAGCCTTGACTTGAAACTCATCAAGGAGGTTTTTTATTTGAGCTAAGGATCTCTGAGATAGGCTACAAATAGGATCTCTAGCAAAATGTTTCTCTTTTTTTCTTTTCTTTTTTTTTTTTTTTTTTTTTTTTTTTTTTGAGATGGAGTTTCACTCTTGTCGCCCAGGCTGGAGTGCAATGGCGCAATCTCGGCTCACTGCAACCTCCGCCTCCCAGGTTCAAATGATTCTCCTGCCTTGGCCTCCCAAGTAGCTGAGATTATAGGCACCCACCACCACACCCAGCTGATTTTTGTATTTTTAGTAGAGACAAGGTTTCACCATGTTGGCCAGGCTGTTCTCGATCTCCTGACCTTGTGATCTGCCCACCTCAGCCTCCCAAAGTGCTGGGATTACAGGCATGAGCGACCACACCCAGTCAATATCTGAAATTTAAAATGTACTGGATGTATTGAGTAGATTTGACACAATTGAAGAAATAACCCATAAGTGTAAATACAAGTTAACGGGATCAACCAAACTGAAGCAAAGAGGGAGAAAAAACTGAAAAAAAAAGTGATCACAATCTTTACGGCCTAATAGACACTGTTAAAAGATCTAATATATGTATAACTGGAGTTCCACAAAGATAAGAGAGACAGATTGTGGAGAACAACAAATATTTGAGGAAATACTAGCTGAAATTTTCCAATTTTGATTTTTTCTAAGCAGCAATCTATAGACCAGAAGATTAGAAACCCACAATTTGCCTGGCGCAGTGGCTCATGCCTGTAATCCCAGCACTTTGGGAGGCTGAGGTGGGCAGATCACAAGGTCAGGAGTTCAAGACCAGCCTGACCAACATGGTGAAAGCCTGTCTCTACTAAAAATACAAAAATTAGCCAGGTGTGGTGGCGCACGCCAGTAATCTCAGCTACTCAGGAGGTTGTGGCAGGAGAATCACTTGAATCCAGGAGGAGCAGGTTGCAGTGAGCCAAGATCGTGCCACTGCACTCCAGCCTGGGTAACAGCAAGTCCATCTCAAAAAAAAGTGACATTAACACTTATCCTTGAAGAGGTGGGGTCTCTGTTCCCTCCCCTTGATCCCAGGCAGACCTTTGTAATTGCCTCAACAGTAAGAATGTAGTGAAGGTGCCACTGCATGACTTCCAAGGATGGGTCCTGAGAGGCAATTCTCTTCAGTCTGGTGCTCTCCTACTACCTCTGAGCTGCTATAGAGGATGTTCAGCTACCTTGAAGCCGCCATGTTGGAGAGACTTTATGGAAAGCCCACAAAGGGATAAAGGAGAGAACTGTCCAAGCAACTCCAGCTGTTCCAGCCCCAACGGTTGAAGGCATCCCAGTACAGACATCAGACATGTGAGTTAAGAAGCCTTCTAGGTGACATTAGGCCCAGCCACCATCTGACTATGACCTCATAACAGACCCCAAGCCAGACCAAACCAGCAGAGCCACTCCCGAATTCCTAATCCAAAGAAATTGCCATTTTAAGCTGATGAATGTTAGGGTGATTTGTTATGGTGCAACAGGTAATTAATACACAAATGTGTGCTGTCCAGACTGTGACTCTCATCCCCTTTCCATAATTTCCACACACAAAAGAAAACTTACTCACACAAGGCCTTCTTTGTGGTTAGCCACAAAAGATGAAGAGATAAATGATGTGAAACCAACAACTTAAAATTAAATTTGGACATCTCAGTTCCAAAAATCCTTTATAGATTTACCCCACCCACCCCAAGCAATGCCTACCATCCCTCTCTTACATCCTCCTCCTCCTGCTCTCATCTTCCTACAAACTTCAAATTCTTCACTCTGTTAGGCAGAACAATTACATTCTCTCAAGCTCTTTCTCCCAAACTCAGCTCCAGGACAACCTTTCAAAGTCCAGAGCCCTTTGCTAACATGCCCCGTGGAGCTGGACTTTTCTAGCTCCAACTAGATTCATCATTTCAGCAGATCTGCCTGTGGCCAGCTTCCCCACATTGGATGCCAACCTAGTAAAACAGCTATCCATAAATAACAATGAAAGCTAAACTGCATCAAGCACCTACTATGTGCTGGTTCGAGGTTAAACACCTCACATGAGTCATCGCATTCAATCTCCATAAAACCCCTTTAAGATAAGGACTATTTGCCGGGCATGGTGGCTCATGCCTGTAATCCCAGCACTTTGGGAGGCTGAGGCAGGCAGATCATCTGAGATCAGGAGTTCAAGAGCAGCCTGGCCAACATGGCGAAACCCCATCTCTACTAAAAATATAAAACTTAGCCAGGCATGTTGGCTCATGCTTGTAATTCCAGCTACTCGGGAGGAGAGGTTGCAGTGAGCTGACATCGCACCATTGCACTCCAGAGCCTTTTAAGACTGTCTTTAAAAAATACATATCTATATTAGATATATAGACTATACAGATATATAGACTATTAGTATCCCCATTTTACAGATGAGGAAACTGATACTTCATAGAGTTTTAGGTGCCTGTAGTCATATGTATAATTGTGACAAAGTCAGATTCCAAAGCATTTTACCAGTGTTGCTTAAGTGAGTGGTAGGGAAGGGAAGGCTCTCTGGAGTCAGGCTATGCTGGACAGTGGGGTTTGGAAACTCTGGTGAATAAAGTGGTAGTTGTTTCTATGAACATGGAGTGAGAAGGCCCAATCCTAAACACACCAGTGCTTAAGGCAGCTGCAGAGAATAAAAGGGAATAGAAAAAGGGGAGCTGGATGGCAGGAGCTTGGATGGGGAAGACTTCAAGGTCAGGTGAAGATGCCAACAGCTTCCTGCCTGGAGGACTGAAGAAGGGTTGGGCTTCACTGGAGACCCCCAGGAGACAGATCTGCTTGTTGGGACAGAGGTAGGGAGGTGAAAGCGAGGTGAGGAAGTTGGGGGTTGGGGGAGGTGCACACAGCTCCACTAAAGAGCTGGAAGAGGCCGATGGAGTATTCATGAGACGGCTGATCCAGGAAGGGCTGTGGCATATTAATATGGAAAAGTCCTGTTTGTTTGTGCTTGGAGAGGAAGGAGCCAGAGGAGAGGGGAGCAAGGTGGGCGGGAGCTGGGGAGAGCCTGCAGCAAGGTCTGCAGAGGCTGAGGCGCTATCGGCCTGGGCCCTGGAGAGGACGTGGGGTAAGTGATGGGGCACAGGCTGTGCGTCGGGGGCCTGAAGGTCCTGAGGGGGACCTCAGACGGCCTTATGCCTCCTCACAAAGAAACCGGACCATCATCTCCGTCCGGCACCCCGGTCGCCCCTCGGATTACCAGGCTAAGGCGCCCGGGAAGCCCGGGCAGAAGATAGAGGGTGGACCGAGCGGGGCGGAGCTGGATGCCGGGCGCCGGCCTCCCTCCCCGCAACCCCGCCGGTCCTCTCAGGTGACAGCTCACGCCGGCCCCCGCCCCGCCCCCTGCATATTCAGGAGCCCCGGCCCACCCCGCCCGCGAACAGCCAGCCCCGGGAGCCTCTGCCGTCGGTGCGTGCGCGGACCCGCACCCGTCCCCCTTGACCTCGCCGCCGGCCATGGCCGTCGCTGCGGCCGCCCCCCGCTGCCTCCTTGTTCTTCTCCAGGTGCTAGTGCTCGCTCTGGCGCAGATCGTAAGTCTCGCAGCCCCTCCGCTGCCAGGGTCCAGGGTGCAGGGTCTGGGGTCCGGGATGGAGGAGCTCTGCCTGTGTCCAGCGCCTACTGACAGCCCTAGCCCGAGGCGCCACCTGAGGACAGCGCCGCCGGCAGGTCCCCTGGGTGGGTGCATACATGGTCCCCATCGCAGCACCGTGAATGGAGGTGGCTGAGTCGGAGAGTCAGAGGGGACCCGTCCCGAGACGCGCGGCCCTGCCCGGGACAGGCAGCTTGGGACAGGAGCTGGCGCCCGGTCCTGGCAGCCCGGGGAGCCCAGGTGGCAGGGCATACAATGGTGCTCATTCACCCGCTGCGCAGCCTCCGCCCCCGCCGCCTCCCAGGGGGCGCCGGCTCCAACCAGACGCCGCTATCGCCCCTAGGCGGCCTCTCGGCCCTGACCGCCAACCCACGTCTCCCTTCCAAGGGCCGCCGGGGGGCTGCGGGCGCGAGGGTAGGGCAGAGACCGGGCCCCGTGGGGTGCTGGGTGTGGTTCCGAGCTCGTCTGCGGGGCGTCAGCCTGGCACTTCGCGGCCTGGGGAGGTGGGTGGGCACCGGGACCCCTGCGTGGGTCCGAGCTGGCCTCTGAAAAGGGCCGCCTTTTAAGATCTTTGATCTGTTCAGAGATGGGCAGCAGGACGGAGATTCTCCAGCTGTGAGCTCCCCTCACCTTGATATGACTTGTGACCTCCCTGAAACCTCACACCCACCTGCATTGAATTGCAGGCAACCGGGGTCCAGAGAGAGGGTCTGCTTTCTGGGAGGTGCAGGCTCCTCCTGCTTCCTCGCAGCAGTCAGGACTTAGCGGAGGGAGGACCTGGCAGTTGTGCTGCGGGAGGGGCGCTCCGAGTGGGAAGACAGTACCCGCTTCACCTCCCTACACCTCCTTTCCCTGCGCCTCCCCCACTTTCCCGTCGGGTTTTCCCGCACCATGGGGAGAGAAGGAGGCGCTGTCTCTGCCTGTGGTTCACGTAAGAACAATAACCCGAGTCACCGCTCACTGAGGGCCGGCAGCCTGCTAGGCACAACCTTGCATTCCATCTGTGATTTATTTGAGCTGCCCACGTCTCCAGCTATTCCCCACCGCCACCGCGCAAGGGCAACCTGGCACACTAGAAGTCGGGTACCCAGGGCGGAGTCCTGGCGCCGCCGCCCACTATCAGTGACCATGGACCCTTCATGTTCAGAGCCAGTTTCTGCGACTGCAAACGGCGGCCCGTAACAGCGCCCGCCTCCCGGTTCTGAGTATTCTTTAAGATAATGCATGTAATGGCACACAGTGCCTGCTATGCAGAAGGTTCTCAATACGTGGGAGTTCACGGAGGAGGTGCGCCCCTAGGACCCCGCTCCCAGGGTCGCTTGCAGCCCCGGGGACGCCCAGCTTCCCGCACTGTCTGAGGACTGCCCCCGCCGTGTGTGTTTTCAGAGAGGTCCACCGGGAGAACGGGGCCCCCCGGGCCCCCCGGGACCGCCGGGAGTGCCTGGATCCGACGGCATCGACGTGAGTCTCTAACCAGGGACCAGGGCGGGAGGGAGGCGGCGGACAAAGGAGAACTTTGTGAGCGCTGTGGTGGGGGTGGGAACTGGGGTGCCCAGAGATGTAGTGCCCCCGTCGCCAGTAGGCGGCGCCGGCCCGCACCACAAGAACGCCGTTTGTTCTGCAAAAACCTCAATCCAGGCCTGACTTGCGGAGCGGGTCGTAGCCGCTGACGGACAAGGAGCTGCTGTTCAGTCCGCCGGCCGCAGCTCACAGCGAGGCCTCATCCCCCTCCTCTCCTTTCCCTTCCTTGTGGGGTGGGAGGCGCCTCAACCCCTCACCCTGCCTCTGGCACATCTGGACGCTTCTTCAGGGTCATTGGGAGCCTTGGCCAGACCGCCAACCAGCTTGGGCCAGACTCCTGTCTCTTCCCTTCGGTTTTCTCTCCCTGATTTAGAATCAGCTGGGCTTGTTCCCTGCAGGGCGAGGGTTAAATACTTCATTCTGAAGGCTCCCGCAGGAGGGCCGCTTGATGTTTACCAGTCTGGACAGACTTCTATTCAACCTGGTGTCCCCACCCCCTAAACACAGGATGCTGGGCCCCCGGCCAGGCCCTGGCTGCTAAGGGCTCTGAAATGCCTGGAGGCCTCTCTGGGGCTGAATCGGACTCCACCGGCCCTGCCTGCCCACCACCAAGGGTCCTTTGTCACTGGAAGGAGGTCTTTCCCTCCTTGGGAACACTGAATTTCCCCCTTACAGTCCCCCTTGGTCCTTGCCACTGGCTCAGTTTCCTGTTCTCCTGCCCTACAGTCTGGAATAGAGCTGCTGCCCAACTTGCTCATCCCCCTTCACGTTTCTCCAGAAGCCCCAACCTTCCTCCCACATGTGCCCAAATCCAAGAGGAATCAGCTTGGAGCCCCCAGCCCTGGTAGTGGGTCTCACAGCTGGCACCTCATGACATCAGCATGTCTGTATCTTCTTGCATGTTGCTGTCACCCTCTCCAGCCCGGCCAGGTTTATTCTCATGCTCCTATAATTTGTTTTTGGATTTTATTTTTGAGGAAAAGGGGGCTCTTTTCTCAAAAATTGCAAGGCTTAGGGGATGTAGACAGAAGAGAGGAGAGTGAGGAGAGCCTTTGGGAGCGGCCTGCCAGGGCCTGTGTGTGCCCACGTGGGCCGTATTGTGCTGTCTCACCAACTTGTATCTTGCAGGGTGACAAGGGGCCCCCTGGCAAAGCTGGCCCTCCGGTGAGTGCTTTATCCTCTTTGGCCTTGATCCTTCCTGCTCTTGCTCTCCTCTGGCTCATGTTTGTTCCGTCTCTGTTTTCAAGGGACCCAAGGGTGAGCCTGGCAAAGCTGGGCCAGATGGTCCAGACGGGAAGCCTGGGATTGATGTGAGTACCTGCATGTCAGATGGGGTAGGGAAGGGCTCCACCAATTGACCTCCAGGGCCTGGCTCTGGCATCTTCACTGATCTGTTCAGAGATGGGCAGCAGGATGCAGAATCTCCAGCTGTGAGCCCCCCTTCACCTTGGTATGACTTGTGACCTCCCTGGAACCTCACATCCCCCCGCCAGGGGCATTGATTTGCAGGCAACCGGGGTCCAGAGAGAGGGTCTGCTCCCCTGCAGGAGTCAGGACTTAGTCTCACATTTCCGGCCTCCAAGGATCAGGTTGAATATGTTGGGTGGGGCTGTCCTTGTGTGCCCTGTCCTTCCCTCTGCTCTTCCCCCAACCCCTGCCCACAGTCTCAGGCATGACTCAGGAGAGAAACATCATTTAGCTGATACCACAGAGCTCCCAGGGGCCCCCAAGGTCACAGGCTCCTGGACACAGCCAGTCCCAGGGGCATGAGGATGACATCTGATGGGAGTTACACTGGGTCAGTCACTGAAAGACAGGAGAAAGGAGAAACCCCCATGACTTGCCTCTGCCCTGCTGGTTCATGAGGTGTGACCAGGGCTGGGACAGTCACCAGGGCCTCTTAAAACTCATCCACACCCTGCAATGATTACAAGGCATATTGCCTTCTATATTGCATTGGTTCTCACATCCACCCAGAGAGGCACCCACATGAGAAACTAAGGCTCAGAAAAAGTTGCCAATGGCCTGGTGTAGTGGCTCATGCCTGTAATCCCAGCACTTTGGGAGGCCAAGGTGGACAGATTACTTGAGGTCAGGAGTTCAAGACCAGCCTGGCCAAGATGGCAAAACCCCGTCTCTACTAAAAATACAAAAATTACCCAAGCGTGGTGGCACGTGCCTGTGGTCCCAGCTACTTGGGAGGCTGAAGCACAAGAATCACTTGAACCCAGGAGGCGGGGGTTGCAGTGAACTGACCTTGCACCACTGCATTCCAGCCTGGGCAACAGAGTGAGACTGTGTCGGAAGGGAGGAAAGGGGGGAGAAGGGAAGGGGAAGGGGAAGGGGAAGGGGAAGGGAAGGGAAGGAAAAAGTTGCCAAGGCAGGACATCAAGCAAATGACCAATCTTGACCCATGGCTAGGTCTTCTGACTCCTGAACCCAGAGGCATGAAGCCTGGGCCTGGCATGAAGCCAAATCTTTGGGCTTTGGTTTCTCATCTTTCAAAAGAAGGGAATTGTTCTACCTGCCTCCTAGGGTTACTATGGGAACTGGGGAAAAGGAAAGACAGGTGTCGAGGTTCCCAGGCCTTCATGAGGTATGGTGAAAGGGACCATCGGCCCACCCAGGAGGGACCCTTGAACCTGCCCTGCTCTGTGGGTCGGGGGCAGGTTGGCCCTCACTGATCCTACATTTTCATTCTTCTGCAGGGTTTAACTGGAGCCAAGGGGGAGCCTGGCCCCATGGGGATCCCTGGAGTCAAGGTAAGGGGCCTGCTGGGGCCTCAGCAGGGGCAATCTAGGGCCAGCATTTGGGAGTGGCTGTAGATAGGAAGTAGGGGCCAGGGAAACCCCTGTCTCTGAGCCTTTCTCGTTGCTCCTGCAGGGCCAGCCTGGGCTTCCTGGTCCTCCTGGCCTTCCAGTGAGTACAACCTGCAAGGGCTTCGAGGGACTCTCCGGGGAGAGGGTATCTGCAGAAAGAGCCATGAAGCCAATTTTCTTTCCTTCTGTTACAGGGCCCTGGTTTTGCTGGACCTCCTGTAAGTCCTCAGGGATAGGGCAGGGTCCCCAGAGCTCCCAGGGAAGGAGGGGGGACAATAGAAAGGCTTCGAGGGAATGGCCGCCATGGGGAGGGGCCAGCGTGCTGTGATAGTGTCGCGAATAGGTGGACCTGCCAGAGACCCAGGGCCAGCCCACTCTGGGCCTGTCCACTGGCTCTGCAATTCTCTGGTCCTTAAAGCCCCAGTCTGTCAGTCTCTCGGGGGTTGGCAAAAGAAAAAAAAAAAGTAAAAGTGGAGAAACGGGCTTTGGTTGCCTGTCTCTACCTTCATGCCCAGGGTATCTGACCCTCTGAGGCATCCTGACTATCGACTCTCTGCTCCCCAGGGACCGCCTGGACCTGTTGGCCTCCCTGGTGAGATTGGAATCCCAGGCCCCAAGGTGAGCCCCAGCCACCTTGTTCGCTGCCTCCTGCCTTCTGTCTCCAAGCTGGCAAGCTGGGTGGTCTTTCTGGAAGTTCCTGGGCCTGCTCCTGGCCACTGGGAAACTCCTCCAGGTCTGGGGCAGAAGCCCCTCCTATGAGCCCACCCGGCCCTAGGTCTTTTAGGGACGCCAAGCGCTGGCCCCATCCCCTGTCAATCAGGCCTTGATTTCCCAAGATGGTGGCTCTCACAAGGTGACTGGGAAGACAGGGTGGACAGGGCAGCGGCAGGACCTGGAGGAGGGCACTAGGGTAAGCTGGGAAGGGCTGGTCAGGGGTATGATTTGGGCTTCTTTTGCTTCCAGGGGGACCCTGGACCAGATGGACCATCGGGGCCCCCAGGACCTCCAGGGAAACCTGTAAGTGTCCCCAGACCCCCCGACATGGCAAAGTGCAGGGGAGCAAGCCTTTGAGCAAGGCTGCAGCGGGAAAGGGTCAGGCAAAGCTCCATCTTCATCTCTCCTCTCAGGGTCGCCCGGGAACCATCCAGGGTCTGGAAGGCAGTGCGGATTTCCTGGTGAGAGGCGAGGTCTGGGGCGGGGCTAATGCAGGGAGGCGGGGCCGCAGAGACGGCGGGGTCGAGAGAGATGGGGAGCGGCTGCAGTGCAGGGGTTCCACCAGGTGAGGCAGAGGAGAGCACAGGAGTTGGAGAGATGGGGGCGCACCGCCCAGCTGATCACAGGGCCCTGCGGATTTTTCTTTTTCCAGTGTCCAACCAACTGTCCACCGGGGATGAAAGGTCCACCAGGGCTGCAGGGAGTGAAGGTGAGAGCGCCTGGCCTGAATCTTGGGAGGGTGGTCCAGGTGACAGGAGGGGACCTCGTATTGAGCTCTCTCCTTCCCTTCAGGGACATGCGGGCAAACGCGGGGTTCTGGGTGATCCTGGCCGCCAGGGGAAGCCGGTAAGTGCGAGGGTGAGGGCTGTGGGTCGAGGATACATGGAGATGGTCCTACAGGGCTCTATCCCTTTCTTCATCCCTTCCCCTTCCCCTTCCCCTTCCCCTGTGGGTTCTGGGGACAGAGCCTTGAGCCGGGGGCTGGTGGCCTGTGCTCCGGGTCGGCATGTCTCTGGTCATGTCTCCTTGCTTGGCCTTTCTCTATCTGTGGCATGGGACTGTATGGTTTGTAGGAGTCCTTCCTGTCTGCTTGTGCAGGGGAAAGGAGATAGTACCTTCGCTTGTCTGTATATGTGTCTTGCCATCCGCCTGCCCATCTGACAGCTCATCCCTGCCCTTTAGGGTCCCAAGGGAGATGTGGGTGCCTCTGGAGAGCAAGGCATCCCTGGACCGCCGGTAAGGAACACCTTGCCTCAGCGGCCCTCTTCTCCCTCACCCCAGAAGCCCTTAATGGAGTCATTCGCCTGCTCAGGCCTCTAGCTTGTAAAAGAGACACCTGTGTCTAGCTGGGAGCGTCTCTGGATGGGGAGAGGGAGGCTGAAACTGTCAGGAATGAGGGACGGGAACCAAAGCTGTCAGCAAGAAGCCCAGGCTGAGGTCCAGGTCTGACACCGTCCCTTTGAGTAACCAAGTGAGTCCCTCCTCATCTCTGAACCTCAATGTCCCATCCACGAGACAGAGACTCTGCTGTCTACCTCAAAAGGGCACTGTAAGGCTGAAGGTGGGCGTCAGACAAGGTATAATGACGTGGGCTTTGCAATTGCCATTGCTGTCATTTTCCTGTCTCAACAGGGTCCCCAGGGCATCAGGGGCTACCCGGGCATGGCAGGGCCCAAGGGAGAGACGGTAAGTGAATCTCGGGGTATCATACAAGAGCTTCCAGGAGCCACCTTCTGGCCCCTAGAGTTCAGCCAGGACTGACCTGCAACCCTTTCCTCTCCGCAGGGCCCTCATGGATATAAAGGCATGGTGGGCGCCATCGGTGCCACTGGGCCCCCGGTAAGCCTGCTTTTGCTCCCCCACCCCTGAGGCTGGAGCTCCTACAGCTACAGCCACAGAGTGGGCGTGGCTCCCCCTGAGCCTGTGTGACATGGATTCCTGCTTGTCTTTCTTGCCAGGGTGAGGAAGGTCCTAGGGGACCACCAGGCCGAGCTGGGGAGAAGGGTGACGTGGTGAGTCCTGAGGCACCCATTGTTTAGTCAGGACCCCTGGGGAGTACTGGGCAGGACAAAGCTCTCCCTAAGGCTGTGTGTGAGAGTGTGTGAGTGTGTGTGTGTGTGTGTGACTGTGTGTGTGTGTGTGTGAGTGTGTGTGTGAGAGTGTGTGAGTGTGAGTGTGTGCGTGTGAATGTGTAGTGCGTGTGAATGTGCAGTGTGTGTGTGTAGTGTGTGTGTGTGTAGACTGTGTATATGAGGGTGTGTGTAGAGTATGTGTGAGGCTGTGTGTGTAGTGTTTGTGAGTGTGTGTGTGAGGATATCTCTGAGTGTGTGTATGTGTGTGAGTGTGAGTGTATGTATGTGTGTATAAGTGAGTGTGTGTGTGCACAAGTGGGTGACCTGCTGGGGAGGACCATCTGTGCCAAGAGCCCAGTCAGCCCAAATTCAGACTTTAGGAGAAGCCCTGGGATCCAGTCCCATGGTCACGGGGGCCAGACAATGAGATTCCAGCAAATCAGCCATGGGGCTAATGGGATTTGGTCTGGATCCCGGTTCTCTTAACTCTGTTTTTTTCTAATTAGTAGACCTGTTGGGGGAAGCAGTTTTAAGTTTACAGAAAAATGGAGCAGAAAACACAGTTAACTGTTATTATTATTTAGTTTTTTAAATTATTCTTTTCTTTTCTTTTTAAATTTAAAAAAAATTCTTATACTTTTCTTTTTCTATTGGACAGCAGAGCTCATCAAGTTGTTTTGTTGTTTTGTTTTGTTTTTGAGACGGAGTTTTGTTCTTGTTGCCCAGGCTGGAGTGCAATGGTGCAATCTCAGCTCACTGCAACCTCCGCCTCCCCGGTTCAAGAGAGTCTCCTGCCTCAACCTCCCAAGTGGCTGGGATTACAGGCATGCGCCACCACGCTCAGTTAATTTTGTATTTTTTGTAGAGACAGCGTTTCACCATGTTGGTCAGGCTGGTCTCGAACTCCTGATCTCAGGTGATCCACCTGCCTTGGCCTCCCAAAGTGCTGGGATCACAGGCGTGAGTCAACATGCCCAGCCATATCTAGTTTTTTTAATGCGATTTTTTTAACTATACAGAAAACCAGTGAGAGTGATATAAAGATTCCCCATGTACCTATCACAGGTTCCAATTCAGTTACGTACATTTTGTCATTCTTGGATCCTCTATCTCCCAGCCCCCTCCTTCCTTTGCTTGTATTATTGCTTTGCTCTGATGTTTTCAAGTAAATCCTTAACATCCTATCATCTCACCCCTAGATACTTTTGTACATATCTCTAAACAATAAGCACTCATTCTCATATAATCACATTATCACAACTGACAAAATAAACAAGTACTTCCTAACATCATCTAATGACCAGTCTCTGTTCAGTTTTTCCCAATTATCTCAAAAATGTCTTTTCCTGGTTCTTGTTCACATCGAGACTCACACAGCATCCACACACTGCATTTGGTTGTTGTGTTCCTTTGGCTGAGTGGAGTGTGGGGCCTTGGCCAGAGTCTCAGTGGATGCTGGCTCCCACCCCTGCTCCTGCTCAGCCCAGCCTGGCCTCCTGGCACTGACTTCTTCCTCCTGCTGGTGCCAGGGCAGGAAGGGTACTCCCAATGCTCCCTCCTCCGGCCCCTGCATGGTGTGGCCTGTGTCAGAGGAACTCTGGGACCCAGAGGCCACTGTTCTCAGTGGTTCCCCTCTCTGCACAGCCAGACAGGGACCCGATATCCTGAAGGTGACCTGGTCTCTCTCCGCTTTGCAGGGCAGCCCAGGTATTCGTGGACCCCAGGGGATCACAGGCCCGAAGGGAGCAACGGTAGGTGCCAGAGGCCTAGGCCCACCAGGACAGAGACCAGGGCCCTGTTGCTTTGTCCAAACCCCCAGAAGAGAAGCCTGGGATGCTAGTCTGAACTCTGCAACTGGTGGGCTGGCTCTGTAACCTCAGGAAATGCCTCCCTTTCTGTGCCTCACATCTGTAAACAGGGGTGATGACATAAGGGAGGTCATGGGGAGCTTGCAGCAGTTGGGGACACCACCCTCCACACTAGGGAAGGGCTGTGTTCCATGGTCCTCATCCCCTTCCCACTTCAGCTCCCCTCCCCCAGTTGGCTGGTGGGGCTTCCTGGGATGACCAGAGCCACTCCCTCCCTGCACACTGCAGCTGTCGCAGAGGAACGGGGGTGGGTGGCCGGACCCCAGACATCTCCGCATTGTCACTCTGCCTTGAACTTTCCTCCTGAGTAGGGTCCCCCAGGCATCAATGGCAAGGACGGGACCCCAGGCACGCCTGGCATGAAGGTAGGAGTGGGGCAGCAGTTGGGATTGGTGCAGGGGCAGGGCCTTGAGTCCAACCATGCAGGTTCTAGACACCTAGAGCCTGGGGTCCTCGGTTCTGTCATGGACATGCCCTTTCTTGCCTCTGGATCTCAGTTTCCCTACCTGCATCTGGGTAGAAGCCATGGCCCTCTGGCTGGAGCTTTCATTTGTATCTCTGGTTCTCTGTCTATCCCAGGGCAGTGCAGGACAGGCGGGACGGCCAGGAAGCCCAGGCCACCAGGGCCTAGCCGTAAGTATCAGGTGGAGCCATGGGGGCTGGCCAGGGGCTAGTGGCTGATGAGGTTAGAATCCACACACACCTGGGGTTCTTGCTCAATCACCACCTCTTGCCTCATTACCAACTCTGGCCCCTGGCCTGTTGAGGGCCTCATCACTTGGACAATTACTCTAGCCTTCTCTTTGGCCATTCCAGTCCTCCATGTTGGCTAAATGGAATCTGACCATTTCCCCACTATAGCACCTTCCATGACCCCCCACCGCCTCCAGGAAAAAGTCATTCAGTCCAGTCCTTCAATAAGTAGTTATTGAGGTTGGGTGCAGTGGTTCATACCTGTAATCCCAGCACTTCAGGAGGCTGAGGCCAGGAGTTTGAGACTAGCCTGGCCAATGTGGTGAAACCCTGTCTCTACTAAAAATACAAAAATTAGCTGGGCATGGTGGCGCATGCCTGTAATCCCAGCTACTCAGGAGGCTGAGGCAGGAGAATTGCTTGAACCCGGGAGGCAGAGGTTACACTGAGCCAAGATTACACTGCTGTACTCCAGCCTGGGCAACAGAGCAAGACTCCATCTCAAAAAAAAAAAAAAATATTATTGAATATCTGAGGTATACTAAGTGGCAGGTAAACAATTATAAACCAGACAGATGCAACCTTTGTCCTTGTGGCTCATCTTAGCATTCAATGACCACCATAATCTGACCCCAACCTGCCTCCTGCCATATCAGCAATGGCCCTTCTCTGTCCTTTCCCTTCTCAACAGGCCTTGGCTTTTCTGCCTCCACACCTTTAGGCCTTTGCTGGTCCCTGTGCTTGAAATGCCCTTTCTGGTCTCTTGTGCCTTCTCATCGTTCAGGGCCATCTCCATTCCATACCTTCTGGAGTCCAGTCCATGGGAGCCTGCCCTCCCTCCCTGTGGGGGTACTGAGTGGCCAAACCTGTTTCTGTGCACACGTGTAAACTTGTGTTCCTGGGCTCAGGCACCTGAGAGCACATACTCATCTCTTCCCCATAGACCCCAGGTCCTGGAAGGCAGGCCATTCACTGTGCCCCACTCCTCTCCCACCACTGTGGGGAAGTACAGTTAAGTTCATGATGCCATGGCTGGGCCTTCTGTTGTTCAGCCCCCACAGGTGGGGGGAATCTGGATTGGGGATGGGAGGCAAAGCAGCAGGTGTATGGGGCTCCCCATGCCAGGGCAGAAACTGACTTCAACTTCTTTCTGCAGGGTGTGCCAGGTCAGCCTGGGACAAAAGGAGGCCCTGGAGACCAGGTGAGGCGATCCCAAGCTGGGGACAGAATTGAGCAAGGAAGTCTGGGGCCAGGAAGACAGCAAGGCCCAGGCCTTAGCCAAGTCTCAGAGGCTCAGCCTCAACATAAGCCCCTTGGGCCTAACCACCTCCCTCCTGCCACCTCCCACCCATCATGCACTCCTCAGCCTGCCTCAGTGCAGATAGGATGGCATGGCTTTAAATCCAGAGGAGAAACAAACAGGATAATCAGGAGCCAAGAGGACTGAATCAAGAATACCCTCTGTCCCTCCCCAACTCATTTGGTTCCAGGCTCTGTTCAGGCTTCATTGGGTTTCCCTGAGGCTGAGGGCCTGACTGGGCCACCCAGACTGACCTGAGAACTGTGTTTTCCTGTAGGGTGAGCCGGGCCCACAGGGCCTGCCTGGGTTCTCTGGTCCCCCTGGGAAAGAGGTAAGTGCACCCTCCACTGACAAAAGGGTTCCTGCTTTAGGGTGAGGCTGTGGGGTGGAGCCCTAACCTAGGGGGAGTTAGACTGGCTCTGCCCTGACCCAATGACCCAGGGAAGCTCTTTCTCCTCTCTGGGCCCATTTCCCTATGTACTTTGCAGGGAGGGTGGGGACTGGCTCTGTTCTGGAGTGTGACCTTCCCAGATGACCAAGTTGACAGACTGGGAATCCAGCAGGCAGAGTTCTTCATTCATTTATTCATTGCATAAACATTCACTAAATACTTGTAACTACGAGTCTCCTCCTCACATGGAGGGTATAGTTTAATGGAAGAAATAGACATGAAATAAATGATCACATAAGTAATTCAAATTGTGTTGGATCCTTTGAAGGAAAACTACAGGGACCCAAAGGCATGGAACAGGGGGTCTGGGAAGCCTTCCCTGATGAAGCAAAGTAGCTGAGACCCAAGGGTAGGGAGGGACTGGCCAGGTGTGGAACGGTGGGTTCCACCAGGTCAAATGCTTAGCCCCAAATTCTCCTTCCTCCAGGGAGAGCCAGGGCCTCGAGGAGAAATTGGTCCTCAGGGCATCATGGGACAGAAGGTAAGTGCCTGGCACAGTGGCCCCTTGCCAGGGGCCTCTGCAGCAGCTGGCACTGCTAGATACAGCACCTGCTCCATGCAGCCCAGCCTGTGAGAGGCCTCCCCAGGCACGGCCTGGGAAAATTTCCTTTGCTGGTCTGCCAAGTGGAGCAAAGGACCCCCTGCCAGTGACAGCAGAAATGGAGGGCACCCTGACCATGCCGTGTCAGGCCCGGATGCGAGAGGCTGCATCTGCTGAGAGCTGCTGAGTGTGTGACCTTCTCTTTCCATTTCAGGGTGACCAGGGCGAGAGGGGTCCAGTGGGGCAGCCGGGCCCTCAGGGAAGGCAGGTGAGTGCAGGCCAGCTGAGGTGGGCAGGGCATCATATCCAGGCCCCCCACTCCATTTATTCCTTTGGTTTCTTTTCTCCTCAGGGCCCTAAGGGGGAGCAGGGCTCCCCTGGAATTCCAGGGCCCCAAGGCTTGCCGGGCATCAAAGGAAACAAGGTACCAGATGGGGCTGGGAAACACCTGGGAAAGGGGCCCTAAAACAGGGGAAGTGGGGTCGGCAGGACGCAGGTCCTTCCGGAGCCTCCAAACCTGCAGGTCGCAGGGTTCTGGTCTGGTCGGTGAGGCAGAGTTGGAAAGAGGGGTGTGGCAGAAAGTTAGGTGGGGGACCCCGTGGAGGGGGTAACTCGCCAAACCCCTCACTCCACGCTTTCTCCAGGGCTCCCCAGGGAAGACCGGGCCTCGCGGCGGAGTGGTGAGTCCTAGCGCCCCTATTCCCAGCCACCCCCAACCCTGCTCCGCGTCCCCGCCACCACCACCGCGCGTCTGACACGTGGTTCTCTCTGCAGGGTGACCCGGGGGTGGCCGGCCTCCCTGGAGAGAAAGGCGAGAAGGTGAGCGCGCGACCTGGGGAAGGGCGGGGAGCGGCGGCTGGCCCCGGGGTCCCCCACCGCTTCGTGACCGCGGCTCTTTGTGCCTGCAGGGCGAGTCCGGTGAGCCGGGGCCCAAGGGACAGGTGAGTCCTCCCGTTCCGACGCCGCAAGTCCTCCCCTCCCCGCGTTCTCCGACTTTCCTGGGCAGTCCTGGGACCTCCACCCTCCCGGCTCCTCCCTTCTCCCAGCCCCACCCCCTTCCTGGACCCCCATCCCCCACTCTCGCCTACCCCACCGGGCTCCTTCTCACCCAGCTCTGCTCCCACCCCATCCTCCCGTAGCAAGGAGTACGTGGAGAACCCGGCTACCCCGGCCCCAGTGGGGATGCGGGCGCCCCAGGGGTTCAGGGCTACCCTGGTCTCCCCGGCCCTCGAGGACTGGTGGGGAACCGAGGCGTTCCAGGACAGCCCGGGAGACAGGGCGTGGCGGTGAGTTGGGCCCCGGGGTAGGGGGTGATTCTTCTAGGCAGATCTGTTCTGGGGTGCAGCTTACCCGCCAAAGGCTAGGGGTTCCCAGACACTCACGTCCTCCCCGAGACTGGTTCCAAGCCCAGAGCAGACAGGAAGGCTGTGAGTGCAGCCTGAGGGATTACCCCGCGACCTTCCCAGGTAAGCCCATGGCCCTGCCCAGGTACAGTCTGTTCCTCAGTTTGGGAGTTCATGACTGGACACCAGAGCCTCCTCCATGGCGGCCTCACGCTCAGCCAGGTGGGAGCAGGAGCGGTGGGCCCTTGCAGCCAGGGGCTTCTCCCTGAACGGCCTCTGCTTTCAGGGCCGGGATGCCACTGACCAGCACATCGTGGATGTGGCGCTCAAGATGCTGCAAGGTGAGGGCAGCAACCCCTCCTCACAGTCCGTTCGAGCGCATCGTCGCCCCCTCACCCCTTCCCGGCGCCTCCATGTGTTCAGTTGTCTGAAAATCTGGAGTCCTGGGGGCTCCTTCCAGCCCAGTCTCCGAAGGGCTTCGGGACCTTGAATAAGTCACTCTGGGCCTCTGACTTCCGCAAAACAGAGCCCAAGGAAGGGGGAACTTAAACATGGTGCTTTGCTGTCTGCAAACCTGGGGGCCAGGGCCCACAGATGCTCTGCCTCCCCTCGTGTTACTGCTGACACCCACCTCATAGACCTCCCTCTCCCTCCCTCCTTCCCTCCCTCCCTCCAGAGCAACTGGCAGAGGTCGCCGTGAGTGCCAAGCGGGAAGCCCTGGGTGCGGTGGGCATGGTGGGTCCCCCAGGACCTCCTGGGCCCCCTGGGTACCCAGGCAAGCAGGGACCCCATGGGCACCCTGGCCCTCGGGGTGTTCCTGGCATCGTGGGAGCCGTGGGTCAGATCGGGAACACGGGGCCCAAGGGTGAGTGCTCCTCTGCGGTGGGCGTGGCGGCCAGGCAGGGGGTGTTGTCCCAGCCCGCCCTCTCCCCATTCCCTTCCCAGGATGACATACAGACCCTTCCCCAGTCCCTCAGCCACATAGTCCGGGAGACACTCCTGGACTTTCTTTCCCAGTAGCAAATGGATGGAAATGAATGTACTATTTTTATCACTCAGGGTTTCTGGGGTTTGTTTTTGAATGTGCTTTGTGATACCCCACAAGCATCTTTCCATGTCAGTAGAGATGGGGCGGTAGACCAGCAGAGCAGTCAAGCCGGCAGGCTGGAGCCACACATGGGTGTGAATCCAGACTCCCCTTTCTCAGCATGGCTCTCAGACAAGTTACCTACTAATTTCCCTGGGCCTTAGGTTTACCATCTGTAAAATGGGGACACTGAAAGTACCCACCTCATAGTGTGGCAGTGAGGACAGTAGCTCATATAGCGTTCGTCTTAGTTCACTGCTTGATCCACAGTAAATGCGAGATACTGTTATGCTTACTTTCCTGTAATAAACTTTATTGGTTACATAATCTTCCATCCTTTGTCTGCACCTTCCTTTAACAAGCCCTGCATGATCATTTCCAACTTTCCTCTATTATAAACTAGCACAAAACAGGAATAATTTCTGTGTGTGAAACATAGCAAAAAATAGAGGAAAAGCATTTTTCAATTCTGAAAAACGAAGATTCCCGTTTTTGTCTACAGGAAAACGTGGAGAGAAGGGTGATCCAGGAGAAGTGGGACGGGGGCACCCCGGGATGCCTGGGCCCCCAGGGATCCCAGGTAAGCTGTTGGCCCTGCCCAGCTACAGTGTGTTCCTCAGCTTGGGAATTAATGACACGTGGACACCAGGGCCTCCTCCATGGCGACTACATGCTCAGCCAGCTCAGTCCTTGATACCCCGCTTCTGCACCCCTTTGGAGCACCCGGGAGTCCCTGGGTGGTTCTAGCTCTGGAAGCTGGACCTCTCAGGACTTCCCAGGACCCACCACCATCACTTCATGAAGGTGACGGAAGGGACGTTTGCTCCCAGAGCTCACTGGGAGCTGGGAGTAGGGGACAATCACATAATCTCTGCCTCTGGGGCAGAGTCCCTTCTCCTGTGGTGTCTTTGGCCTCATTTTCTCCATCTGAAAAATGTCTCCACCTTCAAAATTCTGGGTCTGAGGCAAGAGGCGCCCCTAATGTCTTAACTTTCTCCCGTTCACAGGACTCCCTGGCCGGCCTGGCCAGGCAATCAACGGCAAGGATGGTGATCGAGGGTCCCCAGGGGCTCCAGGAGAGGCAGGTCGACCTGGGCTGCCAGGCCCTGTAGGGCTGCCAGGCTTCTGTGAACCTGCAGCCTGCCTTGGAGCTTCGGCCTATGCCTCTGCCCGCCTTGCAGAGCCCGGATCCATCAAGGGGCCTTGAGCATCAGGCCCGGACAGAGCCCGGCAGGCATCCTGGGGGAGAGGACCAGGTCCCCTCTGGGTGGACATGTACCCATCCCCAACCCAGGAAACCATCTCCCCCAGGACCTTCTGTCTGGAACCCAGGAGTCCTGAGGAAAAGGAATTCTAAAACATCGGGGAAGTGGGGGGAGAGCACTGATGGGTGAAAAAGTGAGGCCAACACACAGGGCAAGTGGTGTTGATGGAGTTGAAGCTCTGAAGGAATGGGGTGGCCTTCCTTCCAGGGAGCATCATTCGGCTGTCACCAAAACAAACATCTTCATTTGCACCATTCTCCACTGGCCACCTTGTCCTTGGGTCAGTGGGACGTGGGCACCCCGGGAGGCCTGGGCCCTTGCCCAGCTACAGTTCCACCCCTCAGCTCAAGGATTAGTGACTGAGGTCTCTGCCAGTTCCTGAGCCCATCTCACTCTCTGACCTATCAGGTGACTGCTGCTGGGTGACTACCCTGAGGCGGCTATACCCGTAAGCCAGCCCCACTACTTCCTTCCCTGCCTCCCAACTGAGTATTTAAACATCAACCCCCTTCTCTTTCTCGCATAACTCCCCACCCCTTTCTCCCCAGATCCGCCCAGGTCTTTCTGTAAATAAAAGCTCCCAAGTTGGGTACAAACCAGGATATCGGAGTTACTCTATCCCGGAGTTAACCAGGCCAGAGGAGTTGTTGGGCTTCTCTTCTTGTGGATGGGGCAGTTGTTGCTGGGCCTCCATTGCCCAGGCAGGAAGGACAGAGGCTCTGGAGGGGGAAGGCAGGATAGGGCGTTTTCTCTGGGCACCTGAATTCTGAGCATTAGGATGGCATGGCATTTTTGAGGAACATCTGTGAGAGGAACCTAAGAATGGAGGCAGGATGCTGACCTACTGTGTAACTTTGGGTGAATCCCTTTTGAGCCGTTGTACAACTGTGGCAAGGACTCACCTGTACCTTGCTCATCCCAGTATAGCACACCAGTGTCTTGCCAGGGTCTGCCACTTGGAAGGTCCTCTGTGAGTTTCAGCACCCACGGTGTGCTGGCCCTGGGGCAGGAGCTGGTAGTGAAAGATTGGAGGACCTTGTTCTTGCCTTCAAAGGGTTTCCAGGTTCATGAGAAAACCAGATATGGACTTGGATGAAAAAAGTCCAGGAGAGACTGGCTCAGATCTGATCTGTACCACCTGGGGGTTCCCAGCCCATAGCTCTGTAGGCCTTCAAGGAGGAAGAAGAGGGGAAGGGGCTGAGGCTCGGGGACTCCAGCCTGAAGTCCAAGCATGTGCGGAAGCCTAGGCCCTCCCACCTTACCATAAACTTGGCTCCAAGTCCCCTCTATGCTGATGCATCCTTGCCTTCCTCCTTCTCCCCCCTACCCTCCACTAGCCCACCTTCCCTCCTCCCTCCTCCCCTCAACACACATTTACCACTAGTGACATACCCCAATCCAGGGACACAGGAGGAACACAGCGGGGTTAAACTGAGAGCCACTGATGTGGCTTCACCCTCCGTGCTGGGCAGTTCCCGAGTTATAGCATCTCAGTCCCCAGAGGAGGCCACGCTGCTACCGTAGCCGCCAAGTACCTACTGGAATGCAGGGCACAGAGGAGGAAGGGAGAGGATGCGAGCTACAGGAGGCAGCTGAAGCCAAGCCTTGGGCAGGCTCTCAGGTATTACATACCTGGTGGGGAGGAGGGTTCTCCCTTCCCTGGGCTGGATCCCTCACTTGCTCCTAGTGCCTGGAACCTTAGGTTTAGAGAGCCACTCTACTCCTTGAAGTCTCTTCGTGCACCTGCCCTGGGGCCCTTTCCTTATCCCTCTCTGCAACATTCCCAGAGATGGTCCCCTGGAGGGTTTCAGCACCACAGAGAGGCTGACGATTCACAAATCTCATGCAGTTACACCTCATTCCTTCTGACAGCAATTTGAAGGGGCTGAAAGGGGGCTAATTCCTAAGGACCAGTGGTTGGTAGCCTATGTAAGACTCCCTGTTGGGTGAATTTCACTCAGACCATTTGCTGTGATCTACGAATCTCCTATATGCCTTTCTAAACTCACCTCCGTGCTTGGACTCTGGTACATTCCACTGCAGCGATACCAGCCTATGCTGTTCCTCCAACACGTGCACCACACACAAGCCATGACCTCTGCTTGGAATGTTCTTCCCCAGAATATCACTGCCAGTGACCTTGCTTCAGGTCTTTATTCAAAACTGACCTCATCCTTACCCTGATATTCCATAGTACCATTCCGCTTTATTATTTCTCTTCCACACTTAGCACTGTTCAACATAAAGCACTAGAATATAAGCTCCACGAGGGTGGAAACTTTTGTCTCTTATTCGCTGTTCTATTCTGCAGCACATCAAACAGTGCCTGGCACACAGCAGGTGCTCAATAAATACTTATTAAATGAATATGTTCAGGATGCTCAGAGGAAGACCCCACCAATCATCAAACCAGGAAGAAAGGGATCTGGTCTCCAGATCCCTTGTGTGCGGCTGAAATGTGTTCTGAGATGGCCCAGTGTCCAAGTTTTAGTCCCTCACCTACTGAGAACAGGGACCTGCCCTTTGACAGCTGAATCTTGGGAGGCAACAGTCTGATGCAAAAAAAAAAAAAAAAAAAAGTAGGAACTCAGGTCCCCTGTTTACACTTAGGAAAAGAGGGATTTAGAAGCTTAACAGAAAGGGCATTGCACCAAGACAGCCCAGCTCCTTGGCAAAGGTTCACCACGAAACTGCACCTCTAGAATGCAGCCTAAGGAGAATCCCACACCTGCAGCTGCTGACTCCTCTTTCAAACTTGATCTCTGGCTATCCTCTCCTCACCCTAAAGGCCAGCTGGGTTAGAACCTTTTTTGTTGTTGTTTTTGAGACAGAGTCTCACTCTGTCACCCAGGCTGGAGTGCAGTGGCGCGATCTTGGCTCAATGCAACCTCCACTTCCCGGGTTCAAGTGATTCTCCTGCCTCAGCCTCCCAAGTAGCTGGGACTACAGGCGCCCGCCACCAGGCCTGGCTAATTTTTTTTTGTATTTTTAGTAGAAACGGGGTTTCACCATGTTAGCCAGGATGGTCTCAATCTCCTGACCTCGTGATCCACCCGCCCTGGCCTCCCAAAGTGCTGGGATTACAGGCGTGAGCCACTGCACCCAGCCCAGAAACATTTTAATTTTGTGCTTATTTACATCATAGCAATTAGGGTGAATTATTATATCACCAAGTGTCAATTGTTGAGCTCTTATATTATTAGATACTGTGCTAAGCATCTGCAAACATTATCTCATTCTATCCCTACCACAGCCCTGTAAAGTAGGTATTACCCCATTTGTCATGTTAAAAAATAAAATCTCTGTCTCAATCCCACCTGTAGATACTATCCCACATTTTTGCTCCCTTTTATGGGAAGGGTTGGTCTCACTTTGGCTTTTAGCTCACCGCACTGTTCTCAGATTCCTGTGCTGATTTCTCATCTCTCCAGTATCTGAAAGTCACTTGGTCCTTGGACCACATCTTTTTCTCTGTCTCCTCTCCTATCTCATTCAGTTTCATGGCTTCAACTCTTATCTATACATCCCCAGTCCAGATCTCACTGCTTAACTTGATCCATTGATCCAACTGCCTACTCAACATCTCCCCTTCAATGTCTGATGGGTATCTCAAATTTAACATGTCCAAAACAATTCCTGATCTTCCCCTCCAGAATCCCCCTCCTGGGATCTTTCCCATCTCGCCCAAGGGCAACTCCATCCTTTCAGTTACTTAAGCCAAGTACACTGGAGTCATCCTCCACTCCCACTTTATCTCTTAGACCCCACATCTGATCCATCGGCACATCCTGTTGGTTCAGTCTTAAAAATATATCCAGAATCCAGCCACTTACCACCTCCTGACTACCACTCCAGTCTAGCACCATTATTTCTTGCAAGAAGGACTGCAAGCGTCTCCTAGCTAGTCCCCGGCTTCAACCTTTGCTCCTCAACATAGAAGCCAGAGTGGTCCTATTAAAAATTCAGATCATGTCACTCCTTAGCCTAAAACTCTGCAATGGCTTCCTACCACACTCAAGGAAAAGCCTGAATTCTTACAATGGCCTACAAGGCCCTGCAAAATCTAGCGTCTGGGATGCTCTTCCCTCAGACACGTCCCTAGAACACCTCACTCTTCATTTCCTTCAGGTCTTGGTTCAAACATGACCTTCAGTGATGCCTTTTTGTGACCACCCTATTTAAAATTGCTGGCCAGGCACGGTGGCTTATGCCTGTAATCCCAGAACTTTGGGAGGCCAAGGCGGGTGGATCACTTGAGGTCAGGAGTTCAAGACCAGCCTGGCCAAAACGGTGAAACCCCATCTCTACTAAAAACACAAAAATTAGCTGGGTGTAGTGGTAGATGCCTGTAATCCCAGTTACTTCGGAGGCTAAGGCAGGAGAATTGCTTGAACCTGGGAGGCGGAGGTTGTAGTGAGCAGAGATTGTGCCACTGCACTCCAGCCTGGGCGACAGAGTGAAACTCTATCACAAAAATATAAAAAATAATAAAATAAAATTACAGCTCCCACCCCCACCCAAACACCTCAGCCTCCCCCTTTTTTTCCTAAAACATGTATCACCATATACATAAATTTTAGTTGTCTGCCTCCCCCATACTAGAATGTAAACTCCAAGAGGTGGAGGATTTTTGTACCTTTTGTTTACTATGTATTCCCCAGCACCTAGAGCAGCGCTTGGTAGAGTGGGGACAGATGGAGAAATACAGTCTCGGTCAAATTTCTTACCCAAAGTCTTACTAGTAAGTGGCAAGTTGGATCAGAAAGCCCGAGGCTTAATCCTAATACTTTACCTGTTATTGACCAGAGAGCCAGAGGGGAGCTCTGACTCAGCCAAGGGCAGAGTAAGGCTAATCTGCTTCCTGAGTATTGGTGGTCCCGGCTTCACGGGTTTTTAGAACACACAGAGGTATCTTCCTAGCTGTTCCTGGTCAAACTGTTTAGGAAATCCTCCTCCCTGGAAATCATCCTGGATAACAGGGAAGAGCCCAAGGTTTCCTTATCCATATTGTCTAAATGGGCCTATCCCATTCCCTGATGGATTATATTTGCCTTCCCACCAAGCTGTACTCAGTCTGACACACATCGTTCAAGTTACATCACTGTGGACTTAAAAGTTTCTGGATAAAAGTTTTGGATTATAAATTATCTGTAATTTTCTTTGTTTTGCCCTTGGAGAGAACGTAAGGCCCTTAAGTGGTATGTTAGCTTTCTGCTAATGATGGCAGAATACTCAAAACCATCAAAGATATACAAAGTTTATAAGAACATGGCCAGGTGCGGTGACTCAAACCTGTAATCCCAGCATTTTGGGAGGCCGGGGCGGGCAGATCACAAGATCAGGAGCTCGAGACCAGCCTGGCTAACATGGAGTAACCCCATCTCTACTAAAAATACAAAAATTTGCTGAGCATGGTGGCTCACCCCACAATCCCAGCACTTTGGGAGGACAAGGCAGGTGGATCACCTGAGGTCAGGAGTTCGAGACCAGCCTGGCCAACATGGAGAAATCCTGTCTCTACTAAAAATACAAAAATTAGCCAGGCGTGCTGGCCCATGCCTGTAATCTCAGTTCCTCAGGAGGCTGAAGCAGGAGAATCACT